GTTTAAACTCGGTATTTACAAATTCGGTTCCATTATCACTTCTAAAAATTTTAAGTTTGTGACCAGTTTGCTTCTCCGCCATTTGCTTAAATTCTACAAAGCATTTGAATACTTGCTTTTTACTTTTCAACGCATAAGCAAATACTTTCCTTGAGAAGTCATCAATGAAAGTTACAAAGTAACGACATCCACCAATTGATTGCGCATCAAGTTCACAAACATCTGAATGTACAAGTTCTAAAATATTTTTGGCTCTGGTGCCTTCTTTTCGGATTTAACTGATCATTTTTAAAGTCGATGTATTTCAAATGCCTTAACTTTTCAAAACTCATATGTCCTAAGCGACGGTGCCATAAACGCAGTTCACTTTCGCTTGTTAATTTTGGCACTTTGATGTTGGTGTCAACCAACAATGACTCACTTTTAGGCACGTCGAGCTTAAACATTCCATCAACTAAGCTCCCCGTTGCAATGATTGTTTTTTTGTTGTTAACAACATTGCAGCCGTGGTAAATAAAAACCACCTCGTTACCTTTCTCAACAATCTGACTTACAGAGATAAGATTAGCACAAATGCCTGGAACGTGTTGAACATTGCCTAGAATTATATCTTTTACTTGGCCATTGCATAAAATGTTTTGTGTGATATCGCCTGATTTTTCAACGGTCATCTTTTGGTTGTTTGCGTAAGTTATTTGATTCGTATTTGGTTCCAAAACGTTCTTCATTAACGTATCACTGTTTGTCATATGTGCGGTTGCACCGCTGTCGAAATACCAGTCACTTGACAATGATTTTTGTGCAATGAATGAAGAAAATAACACTACCTTCTCCGATTTTAACTTTGGGCATTGTTTCTTAAAATGGGGACCGCCACACTCGAAACACTTGACTTACATACCTTTATGTCGCTTGCTATTTTTGGCTAACCTTTTGCCTCGTACCGTAAGTGCCGTTTGGTTTCCACTCATTTCGAATTCTACTTCTTGCAATAAAATATTTTTAACATAATCGACGGTAATCACATTACCTTTTGTTTCAATGCTCATAACCATTGGTCTAAATTCTTCCGGTAGACCGCACAACATAATTTCGCCTGCAATTTGCTCGTCTAGTTTAAATCCAGCCGATTTAATTTTTGAGTGTAGTGACAAACATTGGGTCACATAGTTCTGCATGGATTTACAATCTTCCAGCTTCAGTGAAATCCACTGTTTGAGAAGGGTGACCTTTCGAACTATACCTTTGTCTTCAAAAGCTGATACCAGTGCATTCCAACCATCTTTTGCATATTCGCAGCCCTCCAAATGCGTGTACACACTCGAGTCGACCAAAAGAGTCAACTCGGCTAGAGTTTTTTCGTCTTTGGCCAAGTCATCTGTATTTGTGCTTGCCGTTACATCAGTTTCACAATATTTCCAAAGGCCTTTTGTAATTAAGTGGGCCTTTGCTCCGACTTTCCAAATAGCGAAATTTTCTCTACCTTTTAGGCGGTCAAACGGCAATTGTACATTCATGTTGCTCCAACAACTATTGAAAACTCCTAACCTCACCGAAGGTTTTTATGCCGACTTGCAGGAAAAATAAATAATCCTTATACAAAATTTCGCAGAAATAATGTGTTATTCGTAGAGCGCACAATTTAGAGGATCAAATATTCTAAAACTTGGATCGGATGGCCCATAACCTGTTAGGATGATCGCCGATAATATTAAACAAAACAATTGTTTACCGGTTGGCAGTTCGCAGAAAAGAGAAAGGAAAAATTTATTCAATTGACATTGTATTGACATAACGTGTTACAATTCATAGTGCACTAAGTGCGACAATTCATAGTGAAGTAAGTGCGACAACTCGGTGTTGCATTTAGTGCAA